TCCTGGCGCTGACGGCATCGCTACTACAGGACCGCGCAATGCGATGGAGGGTCGACCTTCCAGGAGATCGTCAACTAATCGCTCCATGTGCTCCAGACCAGTGGAGAGGCCGTTGCCGCCCAGGTGCGCCTTCAACGCGCCCCAGAACTCCCGCTTGATGGTCTTAGCGTCATCCCCTGGTATTCCATGCTCGTCGTGCTCTAGTGCCGCGTCGAAGAATCGCTTGAATCGCCGGCGCTCCGCGACAGTAAGGCGCTTGGACATGCTGGCAGCTGAGAAGTTGTAGCTGGGAGGTGTGCTACGTGGAGATTGTTGGAAACTGAAAGATACGTCGCATTTGATCGGATGATGGCTGACGGGCGTTGGAAATAGGACGCTCGCGACTGTGTGCAAAAATGGAACGAGATGAAAGGAAACGACTTGGGTGACACTGACGCCACTTTAGAAGGGGTGTCAACGGACGACGCCAGGATGACCTTTCCTAACTGGCGCGGCGCCAGTCTGAAATGATGGAAGTGCTTAGGAGCTGGGTCGATGGAATCGAAGCAGTGGCTCCTGTCGCGACGTTCCCGGAAATCGAAACTGGAGCTATGATGGTCTGTGCCATAGCTGGGATAGTAGTGTGGGTGGTCACGACGCCTTTACGCAATGTGGGATGGGCTTTCAGCGCAAGCCTGCTGGACTGTGGTTCCACCATCTGCTTCTTTTGGTATACCTGTAGTGACCGATTTGTCACTACCGTCCGGGGTGCCAACGCTCAAGAGCTGCTCCCCCGAGAATATGCGTGCACTTTGGTCACGCTGATGTTCCTCGTTCCCATGGCGGTGTTACGAAAGTATGAACCCCGCTTCGGCATTTTTGGACTGTTGTGTCTCAGATATTGTGAGGCTTGGCACCACTCGATCGGTCTCTTCGTTCCCGATGTGATGCAACTGGTGTGGACGTCGTGCTGTCGTTACACGAAGGCGATAGCTGAGGCTACAGTAGCCTCGATCGATCGAGTGGGCGAGTACCTGATGGGCGTGTGTCTGGTGGGGCAGCTGTTGTTATCCCTTGTGTTCTACCTGCCGAGAGTATTCTACGAAGGCGTGGAAGGTGCCCTATGTGGTTGGATGGGTGTTGCCTTGGTTACTCTCATGGTGGACAGGATACTGGAATTCTCGGTCGCGAGTCTCATTGGGAACGTGTTCGTCCTGGTACTGGGTTGTTATAGCCACGCTACGAAGTACTACTGGGCGTCGAGGGTGAAGACTGTCGACGGTTCTGGAATTGAGGCCGCACAGAAGGGTTGGGCTAAGCTTGAAAGTCGGAAGGAACTACGAGAAAAGAAAGAGAGAGCTAGCCTCGACCATTTGCGTGCAGGTCCTAATGATACGGCCCCTGTGGCACTAGGAAGTTCGGATTCGACTTCGATTGGAACGAGGTCGATCGTTCCAGATCTGCCGGTCGACTCGGCGATTGGACCTGCTGGAAAGGATGAGGCTCGGCGAGGACTCCGAGCTGCAGTCGGGGAGAAATGTCACGGTCTTCGGCTAGAGGAAGGACTCGCTATTCTGGACGACTGCCTACGGCAATTTAGCGAACGGCGTAAGAAGAGTGTCAAGCCCGATCAGCTTCGTTCCCCTTCATCGACTGCCTCGTCCCTCGTCTAAAATGGAACGAAAGAGTTCAGACAGTGGTACGCTGACTCCGTTTACGAACGACAACTCGAGGTACTAGTGTCGGTAGGAGGTACTTTGGCAAGGTAGAGAGCTGGTGAGGGAGCTCTCAGTCGTGAATTTCCTTCTTTTACGAGAAGTGCTCAAGAAACCAAATAAGAAACAAGTATATTTTACACATCTAATAACGTCTAAGTTCCTACGTCGGCTTTCACAAGATACACGACCCCGACAAGAGAAGGAGACCGCGACAATTCGCGCACTGCATCGCTCGGATTCCGAAGCAGGAAGTCGTGCGTCAGGCGTTTCAGGTGGAAGGCGAGTCGCTATATGCCCTCCACACTGCGCGTCGTCGCCTCGATCTGCTGTTGTATCGACTGTATCTAATCTGTGTGACGTTGAATTTCGCTCAACATCTCAATTTGACGAGTGCGGCTCATTGAATACGGCTCTCATTCAGTTTCCTCGTAGTTTGCGGCTGTTCACTGGTTGCTGACGGACACCATCATGATTGTGGCTACCGTCGTCGCCCGTACATGGTGAACGGTTGGGAGATGACGTTCCTGTCATGCTTCCTCATGGCTGTGCTGCCTCTTGGTTCCCTCTACTACGGAGACCAATCAATTGCTAACCTGGACGCAGGTGATCTCGCCCCCGAGCAGCTTGACGCGGATGCTTCTAGTCGCGGTATCAAGATGATTATCTCAATGATGATCCCCAATTTCGGTACAGTACTGTGCTCGCGTACAGTGGCTTCAATGATTGAGGTCTCTCAACAAGAACCTGCTCACTTACGCGGTACTACAAAAAAGAGACTGCAACGTTGTATTTTACTGTTTCGCGATAGTCTCAGTTTTTTTTTAGGGGCCTGGGTCTCAACAGCGAGGACTACGGTGGCACCTTCTCATGCTCAATCGGCTCCAACGCCATTATGGGTGTCTGCGCCGGTGTGGCGCTCCTTGTGTTACTCTTCTGCTGGTTTTTGATCCAGGAAGAGTGCGTCACGTCCGGTCCAAATCCGTCTTCATATTCCTCTACGAGCTAGTTCAACGTAAGGCGATCTACCGATACATTGCCTTCCGCTTCTTCAACAACGTACTAGCTGTGATTTTCGTGACCTCGTCGAGCGCTATTTAAAGCACGTGGGCTGGCGTTGAGCCACTCAACAATGGTATCGCAGTGATTTGCCTTCCTGACCGTGGTTGGGATGTATTTTGATCAAGAAGTATGGTCTGGCCTGGAACTGGCGCTACATCATCATTTTCGCTCAGATTCTTATCGTATGTCTCGGCATCATCCCGACGATCTCAACGATTTGGAATGTGGTCCGCAGTCAGTTGTTCTAGCTCGGTGTTCCGCTACTCGAGAAGATCCCAACAGCTGTTACCGATTTCGTCGGCGCGTTGTTCATGATCGATACAGCGAGGACTCTGTAGCCACTCTGTTCGGTCTAGCTGTGATTTTACAGCGTGTTGGAATTCCGTTCGCGACGGTGATCACCAAGTCTGTCGACAGATACTTCGAGAGTACATTCAGAACGACAACCACCACGTTCGTTCATAGGTCACTTACGCGTACGTCATTGCCTACACCCTAAACCTCTTTGCCATCGTGTTGTTCAACTGCTCCCACCCCAAAAGGAGGAGCTTCGCCATATGCAACGTGTCGGCGCCAAGAACAAGACCGCGGGTGTAGTGTCGATTTGTGCTCTCATCTTCGCTCTGGCCTGGTCGCTGATGACCAATATTTTGAGTCTTTTCGATTCGACAAGCTGTTTGCGCATTGCTGGTGGGAGCTGATGTTAGATTCAGACGCAGTGTTAGCTTCTTTCGGTTATCTATCTTATCCGTGAACTTCGACGTAGTGCTCACAACACTCAAACTTCGCTTTCGTTGTACCACTTGTGTTTACCACTTGTGTTTTGGTACCTTTGTGTGGTGCCGGAAACGTCTTGGGAATTCGAATGTAGCTGGCTTATATCGTTATACAGTAGTATCTTCAGTAACACCATTCCATGCCTGTATCATTGATACACGTTTTTTGTAAGAAAAATCTTGAAGCTGTACATGTAAGATCATTAATACTCAAAGTAAGTTGTCTTTTTTCCTTTAAATTACAGACCCAGACCAGATTTTTCCTAATTCTAAAAAGCCAATCTTCGGAATTCTCTGGATTTTATAACGAGAAATCAATTTCATTGGGGCCAACGGTGACAGATGGCTACACTTATGCCTTGTTTTGTATGGTGGTGAGCGAGGATTCCTATCAGTGTGCAATAATAATACTTGTTGATTGCATTATCTCTGAATTATCATTCGCAAGTACAGTATCATAAAATTTTGAATTGTTCCCTTAGCCGCAAAAAAAAACTCAAAATCAAACTCTGAACAAAATCCAGTACGCGCTGCTGCCTATCGTGTAGTTTGTAATAACAGTCCTGGCTCAATCTGGTAGTTGCGTTGCAGCTGCTTGGTCAGCGTACCGAGTACCATTTTCTTTTATCGTTTTGATAAATGGAGCCAGTTGGAATTTGAGATGAGTTAGCGCTGTTGGGTGTGCTTGGAGCATATCAAGTGCTGCATTCTCTTGCAGAAATCCACACCTTGCTTCATCAAAAGCAATAAAATGTTTCTTGAGCCATGTGTACAGTTTATCAAAATGCCTCGGGTCCGTCACGTGCGACAGCTTATCGTTCTTCATGGTTACGCGCTCTGAGTGATCTTGAAGAAGTTGAAATATTTCCTGGCGGTCAATACCTCGTTCGCTTGTTGCGGCGTATGTATGAAACAGATCTACAGAGGTTATAGGACATATGTTTAGAAAAAGATTCTGAGCACGATGCTACGATACGTACACTGAAACTGTTGTGCTGGCGATCCAAACTGGACCAGCGTACTCAATGAAACACAGTAATGACGAAACGAAAGCTCGTAACGTGTACTTCTATGGTCTTCATCATCTGCGTGACTGCAAGAAAGTAACCATAAGAATCGTCTTTTACTACGCAGTGCGCGAGTTCTACTCACGTCCCGGGGCTGTATGCGTCTGCGCAGAATGTGTTGAGTATTTTATGATGCTCTGCCAGCACTTCCAGAGCTGATACGGGGACTAAACAACAGTCAAGCTATTTACTCCAAGTAGAACTCTTGACAATAAATACGACGTCATCTACATGAAGTGTCGTCGGCAAGGTCTGCCCATCGAGGTCGCGCTGCTTTTTGTTTCTTCCTGCTTGCTTTAGGTTTGGTCATTGGAGCTTGGTTTTCCGAATGACACAGGGCAGTTTCACGATCGCAGTACTCTGTCGATGCAGAAAATAGCATTTCATCTCCGCTCTTTGCCATGAGTAAAGTGCACGTCGTCATAGCTCCGACAGACAGCGTGGAGGCTACCCACGAACGAGATGACTTCGTCTCTTCAAGAATGCATCAGTACATTGGCTGGATTCCGTGTGACTACTCAGTTGAGCAGCTAAAGCATGACGTGGGTCGGTATTGGCAACTTAAAACCAGCAAGTACGAACTTTGCGACGAATTTGGCAATACTCTACCCGATGATAAACCGCTCAAGCTTTCACATTTCCACCCGGCAACTCTGACACTCAAACGACGTAGACGTATGATATTAAGTCCCGTCAAGAATTCAACCAACTCGAGCTCGTGTGATCCATTCTGGATTCACGACCAGCTCTTTGATTTGTTTGTCTTCAATGCTCTGCAGAACCGCCCAAGCAGTACACTTCGCATTACTGGCTTTCAATTTAAGCAGCTTCTACAGAAGACGACCGCAAAGACAATCTACCAACAGAAAAAGAAGCTGCTCTTTGATAAACAAGTAGCATTGGCTTTCCGGGGAGCTCAGTCGACTGTCAGTATCAGTGGAGATGGGGGCGCCGGCGTAGACTTTGATGAGTTCCTGGATGCTTTAGTGGACGTTGCCTGTTTCATGCACCCGAAAGAATCGTCCAAGGAGCGATCACTGGAGAAACTTGCGCTCGAGTACATTATTCCTTATCATAACATGGAGCAGTTAGCACCTGGGTCTGACACGTTGACTTGGAATCAAATAGAAGAGCTATTGAAGAGGGAGAAGGTGCGAGCTGTAGCTCAGCGCTTCACCAAGACAATTGCAAATCTCGCTACCTCGTACAGCCCTCATGTTGGCGCTGGTCATAGACGCTGCGTACTGAGATATCACGAGTTTCATCGGTTTATTCGTGATGTTATCCCGACGACGGTACCGATTTCTTCTACTGAGTTGTGCAAGGTTTTCATGCGCTATTGTCGTAAGGAACAAACCTGCAGTAAGGGTCATTTGGCTGATGAAGAACCTGAATACTCTCCGGTTAACGACGAATTACCAGCTACCATCAGCTTAGAAGCCCAGTCGCTGGAGATTGTGTGTGGGAACATGGTAGACGCTATAGTCTACAGCGCTCTAGTAGCGGTTCCCCGTCTTGTGAAGGCAAAGGAGAAAATGTCACCGAGCTGCTCCGATATGAATTTATCGAGCAAACTTGGCGTCCAATCTCTAAAAGCACTGCTTCACCACATTTCTAACGATCTGGGCGCGAAAGGAGGCTCTCTTGCGAAAAAGAACGTCGAATTTAACCGAGCGAGGGTGCTTTTTCTGCTTGAGTTCAACAGAATGCACCGGGAAGACTCGCTAGTTGACTACCAGAGCAGTTGCGCTCCTCTCCTGAAGCCATGCACTTTAAGTAAGATACAAAAATCGGTTATTGCTCCGACCCCCACTGTGTATCAAGAGGAAGAGCCTGTTCATCCAGAAAGTACCGTAGAGGACGAGTTCTCGTGGAATTTGGACTTGGCGGATAATGCAGAAAACTCGGGATGCGATAGCGAAGCGGGGGCCGACTCTCCTGTCCAGCGCCCATCCGTTTATCAATTAACTCTAATGGAGCAGCGAAGACGTGACTTGGAACAGCTGAACGCTCTATCGAATGAAGCAGATGAGATCTACGCCTTTCTAGCGGGAGAACTACACCGACATTTCCTCGCTAAACGTCCAGATACTTGTGATACAGTGCCGCATATGCTAGATGTGTGGGTGTCGGCAGGTGAAAAGTACTCCGACGTTATTAATCACGTCGAGTCATCTCCGCAACTTCGTGCCAAATTCCTCGCGCGCTTTGGTCGTTCACTGTTTGTCTTTGCCTCTCAAGTTCTCAGGAGCACAACCAAAGTGTACAGCTACGAAGAGCTCTTTTACGTCACAAATGTGCGTGTGTACACGACTGTTTCCGACACCTGGAGCGATGAATCGACGTCATTTACTCTTGATTTAGCTATGGAGACTCTATCGCTTGCATCTGGAAAACTTACACAAGCTAGTGACGAGTTGTGCACTCTACTTACAACCGTTCGAAAGAATGATGGTCTTAGTGAAAATGATGATGACGAATCAAGTATTGGTAGTGAAATTAGCGAGGACGACGATGATTGGACAGCTAGCGCGCTATACGAACGGTATTTGTACTGTCTGTATCTACGTGCTAACTGTCTAGCTGCGTATGCTGACGTTATAGCGCACAACAAGAAAGTTGGTGCGGATTACGAGCTGGGAACCAAGTTTGACGAGACGAAGCAAATTGACGAAAGAAGTTCCACCAGCGAGGTATTTTTTAATAGCACACTTGTGTTGTCAAAAACGTCACCGCCTGGTGAATTTTACTGGGAAGCTAAGAAGATGTTCCGATTCCTCTTACAGCACTCCAAAGGAGGACTCAATTATTCGCAAAGTCGACTTCATCATAATCTGGCAATGGTACATTTCAAACTAGCAACACACCTCCCAAGAGGCTGCGATGCCGAGAAGCAGTTGCTGGAAAATGCTCTAATAAATCTGGACGCAAGTGAGCAGACGTTAGAACCAAGTGTCCTTAACGATAAGCGCAGCTACATCCGTGCGTTGCTAGCTGTTCGACGTAAATTCTTTCTCGCGGAAAGCCAGTCGTCATTGTCAGTAGACGGGGAAGTCCAGCAGGACCAAGAAGAAGAAGAAGCCATAACGCCATTTTACCGGTTTGTGCTAGCAGCAGCGTTTGCTGACTTTGATACCGACAAGAAAGGTGTTATTCTACAAGCTGATCTTACTCTTCTGAGTAAGGCGTGCGGCCGTAGCGCGGTATCTGTCGAGTCGCTTCAGTGGCTGCTACGCAACTTCGATCACCAAGACGGCGGTTTGACAGAAAGAGGAGTACTGCAATATTTCTGCTGGCTAGCTGAAGCAGGTACGTTTGCCGAAAAGTCTTTCCCTTCCACTATAGTGATTTCACAATCGCTTTTATGCAATCAGACCCCGTTTCATTTTGCGAGATGATTGATTTCCTGACTGCGAAACACACCGGAGCCCACAATATCTCGATATACTCTGATGATTCCATGCATCCACGAAAGCATTCAAGTCTTAAATCATCGACCGGTGTACGTCGCTGATATATATTTTTCTGCATGTTCTAACAACGTTTATCATTAAGCAGCGCAAATCATCGTCCAGCGAGCGATACCGACAACGAACACACCGCGGGGGCATTGCAGACTGCGTTGTTGTCTTGGGTGGGAAAATGACCAAATCTGTAGGAGTTGACGTCAGCAACACGTCGTCGCTAGCGGATATTCGACTTGAGCCTGAAGTGGTCGATATGCTGCCTTCACGGGCTAGTCTACCAGAGGAGCTGTCTAAATTCTGTTTTCCTGACGACATTTACCTCAGCACGGAACCCTTTACGTTGAAGACGTTCGACATCGTGCTCACAGGTAAATATTTTATGGCACCAACTTATTGCAATATTCTAATATCTCAACAAAACTTGCAGATGTCAAGGGAGTGCGCTCCTACGGCTCGTGTCTCCACTTTGGTGAGGAGAAGCATCCCATGGACGTGCTGTCGCTCATTTCTGCGACCGAAAAGGGCAGAACTGTGCATCTGCCGCCTTGGGTGAGCTTGAAGGACATTCAACAGGGACAAACCAAGTGGAAGTGTTACGCACCCAAGTGCCTCTGTGTGCTATCCAGCTATCCTCTGTTCCAGACATTCCGGAGCTTTCTGGTGTATCTCTATCGGCTTTCATTGGCCAATTCTACGCGTGTGTCGCTGGAGTCGGCAATTTTCAACTTTCTCGAGCAAATCCGGCTTCCAAACGGAAATTCGACGCAAACGGCGTTTAAACTCGCCGAAACGACGTGTGTACTGTCCAGGTTTCCGACAACCTTGCCACTATTCTCGCCAACCGAAGTGGACTTCACCATCGCATTCCAATGTCTCAATCCGGATAACATTTTGAAGGTCTGTTTCTACAGCCAAGTTGTCATTCACTAAGTACTCACTTTTTTCTCCTTCAGGTTTATGCTTATTTGCTGACTGAGAAGAAAGTCGTGCTCAGCTCAGCCAATCGACCAATATTGACCCATGTCGCGGAAACATTGCTGGCATTACTCCACCCGTTCGAGTGCCAGCAAGTGTACATTCCACTTCTTCCATCGGTAAGATAAGTGTATTTAACCATTCTTTTCCGTATATTTTACAAAACCTATGTCTTCGTTGTTTCAGTCTTTAGTGGAGTTTATCTGCGCGCCAGTGCCTTTTTTCATGGGAATTCGCTCCGACGAACGACTAGAACGACTGGTAGCCGAGGGAGTTATCTTGGTTGACCTCGACAATAACGACATCCGAGTTCCACCGAATGAGGAGCTACCAGTTCTTACCGACGTTAAATCACGCAAGCTTCTTCATACGCTGCGAAAACTCGCAATTTGGCCTGCCAGTCAGCGCACACGACACAGCTTTGGGCATTGTTTCAGCACCGACGAGCGCCCTCTCTCGCCAACGTTTGAGCCTTCTCAGCCCTCGGCCGCAGATGTAGTGCAAGTGATCAGTCGGAACGATGATTTGACGGAGAAGTGGAGTGAGATTCAAACACTCTTCTCTTCGTTCGCCACAAGGTGAGTTTTTATATTATTCGACTTCCGCTGTAAATTTCTCTGATAACTAAGTTTTCGTTTATTCATATAGGATTCTGAAGGACGTCCGCAAACACTGCACTAAAGCTGGAGCACCAGGGAACAGCTCAACAGAAGCCGTGGTATTTGACGAGCGGGGCTTTATAGCCATGCACCCGAGTCTCCGAGATTTCTGTACGCACCTGTTCCAAACTCAACTTTTCCAGCGATCACTTGAGAACATCTGGGCATTCAGGTATGGATCACGAAATAAGGTATTGCAGGTAACTTCCTCTTTTGACTAACATTGTATGTTTAGTGAAACCTCTAGTGGGACGGAGACTGAACAATACTGGAAAATGGTTCGAGCCAAAGGGATGATGCGGAAGAACTCGGAAGCTGTTGAGGATGCAAACAAGTCGCAGCGCCGACGTATTAGTCAGGCACCTTTACCATCAAGTAAACTTGCAAATTCAAAGACAACCAACAAGTTAGCAGGCGACGGATTCCCTACTCTGAATGGAAAACTCTATGACGACCTTCTTGAAGAGCTGAGCGAGCACGAATCTTCGATAAGTGAAGACGCCGGGCAACCGATTCGCCCGCTGGCTTCGTTGTCTTCTGCTGCTTTGTCATCGGAATCGTCGAGCACCTCAATCCTCACTACGACGTCATTTCACGACGGGGATGTTGACGCCTTTCAGCTGGTGAATGCAGCCAGGAAGCGAATGGAAGGTAGACGTATATGAGAAGTAGTGTAGTGCGTTAACAAGAAGCACTAAAACACGGATTCAAAGCATCCACCCCCTCATTATACGGGATAATAAGAGAGAAGTCTAGTAGTCAGCATTCTCATCAACCGTGCGCGTTGATTTCTTTTTCTCTTGTGCAATTCTTTCTCGCAACTCATCACTGAGATAGTTATATCGTCCAAAATCTCCGTTAAGTTCAGAGTCCTCACCGTATTTTCCGAACGTTGAGTCACGTGTTTTACCCATCGCGTCCCAAGGATTGACACTTGATTGTCTTTGCCATCGAATAAAAAGCTGAGAGCCGATAACAGCAACGACGGCGACTACAGGATAAAGAAACACTGTCCAATGGAGATCTGACTTCTCTCTTACGTCAGGGAGCAGGCTATGAAACACTGTAAGTTTGTCTTCTCCATTGGCACCCATGCTGATAATGGCGAGATGAGAACCCAAGGCTCCATCGGAAAACGCCATAGCAGGGAGATTGAACTGCTTGTTCTCCGCTGGATTGTTTAGCTTGATTGAGCACATTTTTGCGAGAGAAGCTTCAGTTTTCTGGGTTTTCGATACGTTAAAGACTGCGATATCTTGAGGTCCGGCGGCGATAACGTACGACTTTGTAGTGACAAGTGCTACTGGAGCCGCATCTTCAGAGGCTTTAGTGACGAATAACCGAGACAGAAGTCGACAGGCCTGCACTTCAGCAGGTGCACCGGCGTTGACAGCATACACAAGGATCTCTCCTCTTTGAGTGCCGACGTACATGATCTCAGGTTGCATTGCGTCAAACGTGATAGATGATACTCTCGCTGACGACCCTGGACAAACGTGGAAGACGGAGCCTTGAGCTCGTGTCATCGAGGAGATGACAACGTCTGTGTCATTGCTGAGCGCCAAGAGGTTTCTCCGCGTCTCCATCGCTGCAATCGAGGCGTTTGTCTGTAGCTGACGGAAACGCGTCCCGTTAAGTGCTAGAAAATCGACAATTCCACCAATTTGAGCGACTGCCACCACCAGTTGGCGAGAGGACCTTGCAATCGCTAAAGCAGAAGCCTCCTCTGACAGCTGGAGGACGCGAGATTCCCTTACACTCAACGTGATGTCAGATGCAACGGCAACGGTGACCGTGGGTTCTTGAGTGTCAACATTTTTGCTATTCACGACGAGTTGTAACTCGTACATCGCGATCTCCGGGGTTGTGTACATCACTACAAGACAGGGTTGATCGCCCTGAAACTCGAGTGCGATTCTCTTGACCCCCTTCTTCTCCGTATCAACTTTCAGTAATATCTCCATTCCCGAATAGAATACTATTATCCCGTTTCTATACGCTACCGCAAGCAGATCTACTGCACCTGAAACCTTCATCTTCATATCCACCACTTCTCCCTCTAAACGTATCGCTGCTCTCTCCACAAAGTACGTATCAAAAGCGCTTGTCATCGACTTGCTCAGCGTCTCGGCGACTGCAGCGTCCAGCCGTCTCTCAATTGAATCTCCTATCTCCGTCTTCGACCTTCTCCTTGGTATCTCGTCATCTTGATGCAACTTCGTCCCCTCCACCCAACTGTCGCGTATTTCCTGTAGCACCTGCAGTTTCTTCTCCTGCAGCTTCACCATCTGATCCACGACTTTTAGTTCTCGCTGCAACGTCGCCATTAAACACATCACATCTCTCTTCTCTTGCAGCTCACCAGGAGCATCATTCTCCATCGGTTCATCCACACTGCGAGCTTCATTCATTCCCAATCGCTCAAGAATTTCGTCTGGTACAACCTCCCATTGCTGGTTCTTGTGCGTTATGGAGCCATCAGCATCCAGCGCGACCTCAACGTCACTTTCTCCGGTGGTCAAAGCCCCGAAGATCAGTACCCAGAGCTCGAGAAGCAGTAGAACCCTAGGGACCATCTTGTGCGCCTTTTCAAGATCGCGTTTGATTCAGTTAAGTACGCATCTAGACTGAATCCAAAAAGTTTTGGCGGGAGAGTGCATACACGTCACCGAAGCAAATCCATCGTCACAGAACATTTTGTGCCTTCGACTGGAAGTTTGCCATTCGTGTCACTAAAGGAAAAGCAAGTGGAGGTACAGGAAACCTCCAGCGTCGTCTGCACCTGTGAGAGCGAACAGCAAGCATCAGGATGAACGGCCAGTATCAGGAAGAAGAGATGGACATGGGCGTGGAGGAGCACGAGATGGTAAGACACCGTGGCAAGGAACATGAAGTTTGTATTGGCAAGTGCAAGCTTTTCATCGCCTAACTTGATTGCGTTATTTGCTTATAACAGCAAGGTCCGCGTCTCGTGAATATATTGGAGCAGGCAGGTATCAATGCCACGGACGTGAATAAGCTCAAAGACGCGGGTATGCATACGGTGGACGCCGTGGCCATGGCCACCAAGAAGCAACTCGTGGGTATCAAGGGCATCAGCGAAGTCAAAGCGGAGAAAATGCTCAAGGCTGCACGAGAAATGGTCAACGTGGGCTTCACAACGGTGAGCGATTTTAACTTAAGTCCTTGCAGGTGATTTTTATTGATGTTTTTGTCAGGCTGCAGATGTGCTGGAGAGCAGAAAAGATTTAATTACTTTATCCACAGGCTCAAATGCTGTGGATGAACTATTGAAAGGAGGCATCGAGACAGGTTCCATTACAGAAATGTTCGGAGAGTTCCGTACGGGTAAGACACAGCTGTGCCACCAGCTCTGTGTGACGTGCCAGCTGCCGGTGGATCGCGGCGGTGGAGAGGGCAAGGCGCTGTATATCGACACGGAAGGCACGTTCCGTCCTCAGAGACTGCAGGCTATTGCAGAGAGATATGGTTTGGACGGAGACAGTGTGCTGGACAATGTGGCCTTCGCCCGCGCGTACAACTCGGAGCACCAGATGCAGCTGCTAATCCAAGCGTCGGCTATGATGGCAGAGTCTCGGTTCGCCCTTGTGATTGTTGATAGTGCCACAGCACTGTTTCGAACAGATTATTCGGGTCGTGGAGAGCTGGCGGCGCGACAACAAGAGCTAGCCAAGTGTGTTGATGCTTGGAGAGCGGTTAGAAGATGAGGTACTCATTATGTTGCTGCTGGTTATGATCAGGTTCCTGCGTGCACTCACAAGAATGGCTGACGAGTTCGGTGTGGCCGTTGTGATCACAAATCAGGTGAGTGAAGGTCGGTAAGTCGTGATCTAGTACGAGATACTGACCTGCATTTGTGTTGCTGTAGATGACGGCAAATCCGGATTCGGGTATGTTTGCCAAAGACCCGCTCCAGCCTATTGGCGGCAACATCATGGCCCATGCGTCTTGCACCAGGTACAGCTAGCGTGTTGCAACTTGACGAGTGTTTGTCCGAGTCTTATTAACGTTTTGTGATGTCGGTGATGTACTGTACTGTAGACTTCGTCTAAAGAAAGGTCGTGGCGAGAACCGCGTCATGAAGGTCGTGGACTCCCCTATTCTTCCAGAGTCGGAGGCTATTTACTCCATCACTGAGCAAGGCATTCAGGACGAGCTCAACTAGCCTACAATACACGTTCAATTGGACGTTTGATAGCTTGAAAAATTTGAACAAATTACAGAGTAATGTGGGTGGTATGCAGCAATATCCACGCGCGACATTATAATAACGCATCCAGGATTTCGTTGTGCCTGAGAAGTTTTCCCTTCGCCATCACGAGTGCGGCTTTACTCGCGGTAATGTGTCGAGCAACGTGGTCGACCCACAACTTAATGGATTGTTCCTGCCGGACTATTAACCCCTCGACTCCCAGGAATTAGGGCACCGGACGGCTTATTGTACGTCGTATCTTACGACTTAGTGCTGGAGCTGAATAACTGTATGGGGCAAAGAAAGCCCTAGGGGATGGGGTATAAGTTGTCAACAGGTCCTTCGTGCAATGACGTAACTTATACAACTTTGTTTGCATTATTCAGCTATGTATGTCGTAACTTACCACGAGCCAGCACTGACTAGAAAAGAAAGTCCGATCATTGGCCTGTCATTTGCAAACACGAAACGTAGAAAACACATTGATTCAAGGCTCTGTGCATTACGAGCAAAGGACTCATCAAGTTCGCACTCGTCTTTGTTACGCTACTCAGCCTCATCATTGGCTTCGTCACCTCGCAGCTGGATCTCTCGGCGAGTCTTCTGCCGTTTTCCTGCTTCTTGTCCGGGTCGCCGCAGCACAATCCGCTTCCCCAAGTTCGACGGTATGCTCTGGCCGGCATCAAAATCGTCGTGCCAGATTTCGAAGCACGTCTTCGCCACCCCCTTTGTATTCTCGCCGGATCTTGTTGCAGAGCCAAGACTTGGCATCATCGATCGAACAGCGCTCACAATAGAAGGTTTTCGCGTAAGATTTCTTCTTGTGATCGATTCTCAACAACGCGCACACCTTGCAGGAGCGCTGGCGACGCTTCTGCACATTGGAGACCATCACCCAGTCCTAACACTGCTCCAAGACATGTGTAAGCCGCAAGGTACGCTTACGTTTCTGCGCTGAAGGTGGTGGCGTTGCGACTACGCCGGTGAAGTCTTCTGCCTTCAGTTGAAGGAGCTGGTTTCGGAGGACGCCGTACCACTCGCGACGCTTCATAGCTGGTATACCAGCTATCTTCGCAGCCTCGGTATGGGAGATGTAGGCATTGACTAACGCGAGATCGACGAAGCCTAAGAATAGGCTTTTATAATATTTCTTGAACTTAGTAGATGTTTGGAGCGAGTAGGCTTGGAGGCGGAGCTGATCATGCACATCAACTCCACCCATCCAACCTTGATAGTCGTTTACGGCGGCTGGGCATGGCACCGTAATTGCCTCAAGCTGCTTCACCTTCCGCTCAATCGTTGACGGCGCCATCGTTGCGCCTGTACACAGGTAGTGGACCGGCTTGCGGTCCCACCAGTGGAAAGCAATCATGGATGGTATTGCAACCGAACGTGAAAAGGTAAACGTGCCGCGTGGAATGTTCGCCGGGCGCGTTGCTCTCTTTACTTGGAGGTTCTTGTCCATCCCGAGACGGTTGACCATGATAGTACCAATAACGTACCCGTTCATCTTCAGCAGCTCGATTGCAAGGAGAATAGAAGAGTAGTATCTGTCTACACCAACCGCGCACCAACGTTGTCGCTTGTTTTCTGCAAGTACAATCTTCAGGTTCCTGACCACAGCAGCTGCACCTGTCTTGTGGTCAAATGAAGTGCTGCCGTCATCCTCTGAAGTGCGCTTGCCTGCATACATTTCGAATCTGGTAAGATACGACATAGAAGTGGGTCAGAATGGTTGATGGCGTATCTTACGACATTCAAATGCTTACCTGGGGCAATAGGCTGTCCTCGAGTCGCATGTCATAAACATCTTCGACCCGTATCGGTGTGGTTTATCAGGCATAAACATTCTCGTCGTGTTCCGCTTAGACGTGGCTGGTAATACCCCCTCATCAAAAGAAAAAACACCAGGCAGCGACCAGCCCTCCAGGAAACGCTGCTGAAGCTTGGCAATTACCGGTCGCAGTTTCCACAGCTTGTCCCTGTTCCGTTCGCCCTGGTTGTCGACGAAGTGGAGATCTCTCAGGATATCCTGGCAGCGGTTGCGGCTCATGAAGCGTCCGAAGCTGCCAGCAGGACCGGCGCCATCTTCGACCATCGACCAGTGCGCTGCAAAGCTCTTCTGCGGGCAGAGCATGCGCGCAACGAGCAAACCAAGGGCGTGTAGGATCTCGTGAGCCTGGTACGCTGGCTTAGTTCTCAGGCGGCGCCGTATATTCCTCAGCGTTTCTTGGCGGCGGTCGGGGTGCTTGACTTGTCGAGCATGAATTGCTTCAGCTCGTCTGTCTACTTGCTGAAATGCGTAAATGTTCGTTTCTTGGTTGATATTCACCCACATGGACTTGGGCATAAAAAAGAAGAAGGTAAGAAGTGGCGAGTGTGTGACATTGCGCAGCTCTCTCGTGGGCGGAGCAAGCTCCGCACCAAGTCCTGGATACGCTTCCACATTTGACTCAAAAGAAGACGACACAGACGTCCACTTTATTGGTCGCAAGGCATCCTCGCGCTGGTGCAGACTGCGTCGATCAGGTGCTTCAGTGTCCAACTGAAGTGAAGCGATGAAAGCCTCATTCATCTCCACGGCGTCGCCATCGGAGATGCCATCATCGCTACAGTCGTCGTCTCCACGGTCTGGACCTTCGTCGTCTTCTGTGTAGGCAACACCGTCGCTCTCATCCGAGCTGAAGCTTTCGTACGTGCTTGTGTTTTTATTCTCAGGTACGAAGTTGATATCCTTTTCTTCTTTGGGAGCTTGACGCTGGGGCTTCCGTCTTTGTTCATCGGCAATGGACTTGTCCTCTTCTTCGGCACCGCTCTCAGCTCCAGACGCGCCCGACAGCAATTGCAAACGAGCGGCAGCTTCTTCAAGTTGCGAGGCGTCCAGTAATAGGCCTTCAGGTGGCAAATCAAATGCCCGAGTGACTGCCGACTGTGACAGATCTGCCTCCGACTCGCTAGACGTGCCGAACAAAAATCTCATGGTACGTTGCGATATCTCGATACTGGTGTCAATTTGTGAGGCGGTAACGCTTTTATCAGAGGTTCTGTCATCCAGGGTATCCGCATCGTTGTCACTGTCACCTTCGACCAGAAGTCCAGACTCCAGAGCATATTCCACTACGGCGTCTTCTCCAATCAGCACCTTGGTACCATCGGGACTTGAATAACCCCACTCGGTCTGCAATCCACTGGGCTTCTTCGCTGTCCACCCAGCAGCACGAAGCTGGCGCCAGAAGTGACCAAAGTCGATATCACGCGCGGTGGCGGCGGCTGTAGCTGCTGCCGCGACTGTAGCTGCGGCCTTCCCTCGACGACTGGAACGAATGCGCGCCATTCGGCGAAAGCTGGAATGAGCGGTTGACAAGCCACCGATTCAGATCCAAAAACTGATTTTCGTCCCCTACTTTTCCCGCGCACCCCGTTTCTGGGTTTTCATATAATACCTCCAGGACCTTATTTTTTCAAAATGACTTGATTTAAGTATTGGAAAAATAATTCTGAGCCAAATTCTGTTGTAATGCCTTTTACGTCGTAAGATACGACGTAAATTTTTTACTATGTCGTATCTTACGACGTTGGGAGCCGAGGGGTTAAAAAATTCTAAATTGGAATGAAGGGCCGATTAAGAGACTTTCAGTCTGAGAGCTCAAGAAATTTATTAATTTTAATAAATCCCTGCATTCTGTGTTGTGTACAGGGCTAATGGTAATACCATAATCGGTGAAGCTAGTATAATGATATCATTACCTCAGACCAGCTAAAACAAATAATACCTTCAAGTAGTATTTTCTTTAAAATCATATAGTATAATAAAAAACCAATTCAAAATAAGCTAATACTGTATAATACTATTTTATTGGGGACAATTGGCGGTGTGGTCCACACAATGTGGGCCTAGGGCTTAAGCTGATAGTCCACAGACTAACACTAGGCATACAAAATATCTAGCATACGTTCTGTGGTATCTGCTGCGTGAATGTTGCTACAGTAGGAAGCGTGATCACTCTAATGCGAGTAAAGTTGAAGACAAAGGCACCGGCATTGTATCTACAGCAGTGGTAATAGGCTAGTACAAGCTTTGGATCCTTCATATAATTATCAAAGGATCATAATATCTCCAGCTCGTCACTCGCCAGCGCCACCTTTTCCAGAATACTCTCAGCAAGTGGCCCAACAGCGATTCGTGCTTTCGCTTGAGCCCACTTGTCTTGGCTGTACATGCTGCACCAGCTCGGTGGCTTCTATTCTCGATGCGCATAAGGCAGTCATCGGCTGCACATTGAAAAATTCTTTTATTGCTTGTATGTCCCAACAGGTAAGGTAAGGTACATGTAAGGTATTTCGTGTTCGTGTGTCAGTAATATTAAATATTTCTCTGTATTTTCTTTAATTCATACATATTTATTTTCCTTGTAATATTTCATTTTTTTCAAAGCGAGCACAAAAAATCAACTGTCCTCCCAGGCCCTCTAGCTTACAGAAATTGCGTAATCGATTTGGATCCACCAATCATTTGTCGATAAAGATCGACTTGCAAAATATTACTACCGTCTTACCCCGCATATAAGGCATATGTGCTGTAAATGAATACAACACTGCTGGTGTGTTATATTCGTTTAGAAAGCCTATGTGTTGTACAACGAACAAATTGTTTGACTTTGAAGAAGCAAGTTTGTGGGTCCTGGAATCTGGCTTGGTCGTTGAGGTTTGACCCTCCTACGCGATCGGGTAGGGCTCAAACCCGCCTGCGTGCAGCTCACATGATGTTGTGATTGGTAGCGGGTCTTTTCTTTCTGTTGTGGCTGCGTTGTTTACGGAGGTCTTGCTTGTTAAAATTATGAATTCTACTATTGTTTTTTTATTAGAATCGTTTGCACAAATGCATTACATGTAATCACGTGTATTATATTATGTATCCACCTACTTTCACTGCGAAATATGATCCGGAGCAAACCAAGCACAGCGTTTTCAGAGGATTTTCAACCGTTTACGAGAATTTGGACACCAGCTTGTTGTCCTTTTCAGCAGTACGTACCTATAGCTACGTCGCTCAGCACTCATGGCTGTGTAAATTATAAAATAAGAGACCTAAAGCCAAGTAC